ATGTTGCCTTTAAGAAATCGCAAAATCTGTTTTTCCCCAAAGAAACCACCCTGGCATTTATTTTTTAAAGGAAAAAAAACAATGTTGTAAAAAAAAAAAAAAAAAACTGTGATGAATATAGTGTTTTTCTGTGTATAAATGTCACATAAAATGGTGTGAATTGCCACACTTTTGGCTTTAATTTTGCTGTACTAACATAAACCAACCACGTCTCTTGGTCCATGGGTTTGTGCTGCAAGGGCCAATTCTCCCAGTGTAATTGAGCACACAATTGCCTTGACTGTGCATGTAAGAAAAACCTGTTTGCTTCAATGCTACATTTGAGGACTGCAACTGAATGCTGAATAATTGTATTTTAAATTTTAGAAAACTATTTGTTATTGTAACCTGCTCTTCACAAAAATAAGTACAAAAGAATGCAGCAGTCCCTGTATTTAAGTGCTTTTTTCCTCTGTGATTCCACAGAGGCCAGAGAATTGGAGAATTTCCCAATACAGAGGCCAACTAGCAAAGTTACTGCTTAACCTTTATTGTTTATTTATTAAGTCATGTCCAGTGTCCAAAGCAAGGCTGAATCTTGTTCTGTAGCACCCCAGTGAGTAATTCCTTTTCTTTCCCCTTCAAGACTCTGACTGACTCATTTTTTCTTTCCTCCTTAGTTCTCCCTTATCCACCTCTATATTGCAGTCACATATTCACGGGTTTGAACCTTCCTCCTCCTCCTTCTACAGCCTTTGATAAACAATATTTTTGGTATTAAACTTTCCCTAATAAGCTCACGCTGCTGCCAGTGCTGGGGTGGCTGTGCTGAAGCTGAGTGCTCGTTCTCTTTTTCACCTCTAGTGCCAGGGAACTTCCCAAGAGCAGGTTTTGTGTCAGTTCATGGGCCAGGGTGTGTGCCTGTCCTGTGGGAATTGGTTCCCATCACACAGGGTCCATGAAGCAGCTGGGGAACAAGGATAATGTTTCTGGGTGGGAGAGTCACGGCCAAAATATTTTCAGAGAGTCAAAATATTCAGTTCAATATCGTGTGAAAATCAACCCACGCTGAAGTGCCCCAAAATGCAACCACTTCCTAAGTAGACTAAGTAGGCATGGTACAAAATCCTAGCTAATTTCTTGCTCTGCCACACTTTAATGGAGATGGTGGTTATGATTAATTTTCCCTGTGATAATTATTCCACTTAAAATGGAGGTATTGACAAAATAGTTCAAATAATCTGTCTTCAGAGAAAATCAGCAAGCAAAACAACTTGTGTGTGCTCTAGACTTTTGAGACAGCATAAATAAAATTGATGCTTCCTACTTTAATAGGCCGTTTGCATTAACAATTATTTTGGCTAAATGCCTCAGCTTTGCCTTAGCATTTACTTAAACAGCAGAGGGACGTATTCTGCAACAATACTTTAGTCTCTGAACAAGCTCTCTTAGCTACCCTAAATGTGACTGAAACCCAGCACTTTGGGAAAAATGGCACTTATTTATTGTAAAAAGACACCTAAAACTGACAATGCTGCCATTAAACTCAAAAAATATACAGGATACAGGCTTTGAACTCAAACTTCTGGGCATAATAATTTCAGAATTTCTACACTACCTTCCCCATTTCAAGTCTCTCCCCAGCTCTGTGTTTATTGTTGTCTTCCAAACATAGGTACTATGGGAATGCAATGCTGGTGGCTGACAATTTTATCCTTAGACATAAACTCCAGCTCTTACCTTTTAACTGCCTCAGAAGTATTGTAAGTTCAAAAAAGTAAATAGAAATGTTGCATTCCAGCAATCCCTGGCATGAGGCCTTGTCTCATTGTTGGGTCATCCTTGCAGGAAGATCACCTGTCAGCATCAACATTTAGATTTTACTTTTTAAAAGAGTGTGCTAGAAGGAGGAGCCCTGAGAGCTGTGAATTTCAGAACTCTTCTTGCTGTCCTGCCTGCACCACACTGCTTCTTGCTAGGCTTGATTCTGTCCTCTCAGGAGACATCCCCCACCAGCACGATGTACTTTTCAATTCTTGCTTGAGTAAAACTGAGATCCCCAGCATGTACTGTGGAATTCTGGACCATTAGATTTGATGGATAATAAGGTAAAAGGTATTTCTAGTTCCTTAGGTATTTTTTGATATTTTATTTCTTAGTATGAAAAAAATATTTGGTGTCTGAATAACTTTATCAACACTTATGTTAATATCCAACAATTGTGGAACTGTTTATTCTAATGAATTTCTCAAGATCTCTTAGACCACTGTAAGAGCTGGTCCTAATGGTCATAAAATCAGAGCCTTTGAGAAACAATATTTTTAGTATTAAACTTTCCCTAATAAGTAGACATGGCCATATCTATATGTAGTTGTCATGTATTTAAGGAGAAAATTATATTCAGTGTAAGTAATGAATTTCATTAGGACTTGGTTGTCACTGTTGCAATTATCTTCTTTCTCTGCACAGAGCCTTTCACTCTTGGGCAGTTGGATGTTACCCTCTGGTTCAGTCTGTAAAGGAGCTGTAGGAGAACAAGATTTGCTTGTAATGGCAATATTTATGATCTGCAGTAATTGTATTTGGTCATCTTGCCCTCTAAGGTGTTATGTTGGGTGGAGCATGGACAGAGTTCATGTCATACACGAGAAAAGATAACCAGAAAACTTTTTTTAGATTTAGGTGGTAAAACTGCAAAACAAAGGAGGATGCAGAATCTTGTGAAGATGACAGGTAAAAAAGACAGGAAATAGAGTCAAGGTTGGCATAGTTAAGGCTCATCTCTCCCTGTTCTGCCCTCTCACATCCCAAGTATTACAATAATATTTTTATTACTGTGATCTGTTCTGTGTGGTATCTTTCATGTTAATAAATCCAAGTGTCCTCCATGCTGTACTCTATAAAACATGCAGAAGAAAAGACTATTCCCAAAACCTTGCAAGGTAAATTGTAACAGGCCACAACAAACAGCTAAATCTCAGACAGTGGAGAACAGTGAGACAAAGCTGAGCAGCCTGATAAGAAACAAATGCCTTTTTGGAAATGTTATTCCCTAAAGAATGGCTGTTTCTATCTTGAATAATATTTTTACTCATGAATGGCACAGAAGAAAAATTCAGAAACTGGAAGGAGTCTTTTACCCACAGAAAGACAGACAGTGGATGTCACTACTGAGAGCTCTTCCAAATACTTCATCTACAGTGAGATTAATTATTTGGTTCTTGCTGGAGCTGCTAATAGTATAACTAATTTAGATGGTGATTCCTTGTGTCATAGATATCTGCTTGAAGGGATGAGACAGAAATGTACTGCAGTTAAATGTAGAAAGATCTCAGATACAGGAATGATGTAAAATGAGGAAGCACAACCAATCCTCTCCATAAACTAAATCGACCATCTCTTCAACACAAAAATACCTTGCTTGTTCTAAAGTTATAACTGAGCTTGAGTTATCACTTTGGAACTCACAACATCTCATTCCTGCCTATCTTATATGAAGATACAAGCTTCACAAACAAATCCACAGCTTCTGCTCTCTTCCTTGACCACTGCACTGAAAGACAGCAGGAGCAGACAGAATCCTTCCTTTTCCTTTGAAAAAGCTGCTGGCAGAGCTAGAAAGGGCTAAAAAATAAAGCCCTGCCTACAAAGTTGTACTAATCTCAGAGACACAGCTGAATTCTTTCACTAAGTGCTAAATTTCTAAAGGTTTTGCTTATATTTCTGTGTGAACTCTGTTTTAAAGATAATGTTTGCATTAATATGCCTAAATAATTTTTCTTCCTTTTATCTATGATTATGTTCAGGAAAGTTATAATTTTTCTTTTTTTAAGTTCAGACTAGGAAGACATTTCAAACCTTTTAATTTAAACCGCAGGAAAAAACAACTCCCTGTTTTTCCTCACTCTAAGGTCTGTAGTGATTTTGATGTCAATGTCTCTTTGTAACATCATTAATTCTACAGCACATGGCATCTTACATGGTCTTGGGAAATTCAGTCTTGGGAGACAGCTGTGGTCTTGGGTGGTCTTGGGAGATAGCTATGTGTTAATTTTATTTTACCAAAATCCTTTACACAGATTTATTTTTCTGCCTTAGCCCCTGCAGCAATTTTTCTCATTCATATATGTTTGTGAATCTTTTTTCGGTGGTGTTTTCATTTGAGCAGGCATTTCTGATTGAGAAGTTAGTGGGATTTGCAGAAAAATTCAGTCTCTCAGGAGCTTCCCTGCTGGAAGGCACACTTTGATTCCCTTGGTGAGCTTTCCTCAAAGCCCTTTCATGCAGAAGCAGCCAGGGAAATGTAAAAACTGCCTGTGGTCTTATTTACCAGTCTGTCCCACTTTTGTTGAGAAACATCAGACTGTAACTTCTAACTTGGACAGAATGAGAGAAGAGACAAGAGGGCTGTGTGGGAGAGCTGCTGATGTGGTCAGGGCACAGTGCTGAAGAAAGGGAAATATTTGGTCATTGCCACAGCCAGAGTGTGTGGAAAAGGCAGCAACACTCACAGGCTCCAATCTCTGCTGCCAGGCTGCAGTCAGTGCACATTCCTGTGTGTGATGAGATCACACACATCACTTACATTTACTAATGCAATTCATAGGCTGCTGACCCAGAATTAGGTTTTTCTCCTTGTAGTGTTTCACATTTTATGTGTGCAATATGAGACATATTCATCCTTCTTGTTAATATTTTATCATCTTTTATTACACCAAAAATGAAGGGGGAAAATAGATGGCTATTAAATATAAATACCAGCAGCTCTTGAAAAAGTTCCCTTTCCTTTGCTTTCCTTTCTCAGCAGCAGGATGAAAAGCTGTGTAGATGCTCTAAAACTGGACTGAGTCTTTTGACATGTGGCATTTTCCTCCTTAGGAATTGGCAAGGAGATGGGAGATGTGGGCCAGGTATTTAACCTTTGCTACCTGAGGTGTGTTAGTGTTCAAGGATTCTGTTTCAGGAAATGAGAACATCTCAATAATCAGTGAAATAAAGATTAGACAACATTACCTTTTATGTGAAATTCTAAAATTATATTTATTGGCCAATTCACAGAAAGTGCTGTAGTGACCACAAAAATGACTCTGGCTTTATACATGTATGGATTTACAAAACAAATGTTAAAATAACAGATCTATTTGGAATATGCATTTAATCAGTCCTGTGGAAAAACATATGGGTAGTAACAATGTCGAATTCATAAATGACTGTGCAAATTGACATGGCTTTTATGAAATACACCACTATGGCATGGAGGAGCTTTTGTACAACTTCTTACTCTATGTAAAGTTAGGGTTTGTGTACTATACTGTCTGTCAAAATTTACTGTACATTTTCATTAAGAAAGGGTTGGGTTTTCTTTTTTTTTTTTTTTAAACAGCTGATTCATCTATATCAAAAAAATAATTTCATATTAATCTTTTCAATTGCATATAGTAATTTAATTCATTGTACTGCATAAATTGTGTAGATTCATGCTTTCAGAAATGCATTTAACATCTGCAACAAGACATTTCAAGATATGGTTTATGGTTGTTTCACATCAACAAGAAGATATTTCGTGTAAGGGCATTTTTCCTGGGCTGAACAGTCTGTTGGTTCGAGACATGTTTACAGAGTACAACCATTGTATGTACAACCATACAGCATATATTTATTTAATCCCTTCTCTGGTATAGCTTTTTATTATCCATAGAAGTGGCCACAACTACACAGAATTTGGACAGCTAGGAAGCAATCCCAAGCTACAAAATACATGCTACCAACTGCAGTTTCTGCTCCTCAACAAGAACAAATGCACTAACATGGAAACAATTTGGGAAATGACGAACTGTGTGTGGGAAAAATTGTAAATTTTTGCAGGCAGATGAAATACCATTTTTACTGTCAAGAGATGATGAAATATGAAATAGAATTGTCCCAGCCAATTAGAGAATTAGAGCACAGCCATTACATTCACCATGATGAGATAATTTCTCAGCTCTTCAAAATCCTACAGTCTCAGTAACATTTAAATGTTTAATAACTATTTAGATAGTTATTAAAAAAAATCTAACTAGAACAACCCCTTTCACCAAACTGCAGCAATATTCAGGGTGCAGGTCTGATTCCTGCCCTGTTGCTTGTCACAAGCAGCTCATTGCTCAGGAATTCCTCTCCTTTGTGTTGCAACCTGACCTTCCAAGGCCCATTCATCTTCCCCCCTGTCCATCAGACTTTGGGCACTCCTCATGTTTGGGGAAGATGGGCAGAGCAGTGACAGCAAACAGCCAAGGAAGTAATTGTTTGCTCATGTGACCCAAACCCAGTCCTGGCAATTCATTTCCTACAGTATGGTTTGCCCAATTGACACCCACTGGGGACAGAGATGTGCTGAGGGAAGCAGAGAGCTCCCCTAAGTTACCCCTGGAACCCTCAGCGTTCCTGCTCTCCCCTTTACACCAGTCCCTGCAGACAGCCCAAATGAAGAAGAAATCAAATTCTATTTCCCTTGGGTGTTAAGGGATGCAGTGGCTCTTCAAACACAGGGATTTCAGTTCTGGTTTGGAGGCAGGAGGAGATGAGGGAAACACATCAATGAGAAGACCCAAGCTGCCTTTGTACATCCTCCCTGTTTGCCAGTGTGGCTTCCGAGCCAGCAAACACAGGTTTGCTTGGGACAGGCTTGAAAACAAACCCCATGGTCATCATGCCAGCCAGGGACCAGAAATGGATCATAAATTTGCAGTATAAGGGCGGGAATGGCAGTAATCAGAACAGTTGGCACAATTCTGTTTCTAGCAGTTAATGCCTATCTAGAAATCTCGAGCAATTGTTTTAGAAAGTAGATGCATTCTCTTGACATTTGAGGAGAAGCAGTATTATCTGTCTTAACTGAAAGTAATTGTTAATAGCTGCTGTTTAGTGTAAAAACATGGACATTACATTCCATGTAAAATCGTGGAATAACAATGTCTGTTTTCCCACTGATGACAGAAACCTAAGTTTTAACTAAATTATACTTTGTAGTATTGTTTGATTAGCTGCAGTGTTTATTGGTTGGCTTTGTTAAATCATACCCATGTAAAAGACACTGCCAAATTCATGTCATATGAGAACTTATCCATGGATTACAGAAAAAAAAAATTTAAAAATCAAGTTTCAATTTAAATTTATTGTTTAAACTTTAACAACTTATTCAGTGACACCAGCAACACAGAGCACCTTAACAGAGTGAACTGACTGTGACTCATTTAAGGAAATACTAAGGGATTTAGTTTGTGCATTAAGGACATTTCATGAAAAGGTAAGAAACACAAAACTGAAGGAATGAATTGGGATGAGGAGGGATTCACAGCTTCTCTAGTAAATTACCAAAGGCAATGAACTTGATAACTATCTAAAAATATTCAAAGGATATAAATCATGGTTAGAGGAACTATTTAGAGTGGTGCAAAAGGGTATAACTAGGACTAATGAGATAAAAATTACAAAAAGGATTATTTAAATTCATTTTCAGGAAAAAACTTTCTAATGGTGAATTCTAATAGACTCTAGAACAATCTCCCAAGGGAAGCAGTAGAAGCCCCAGGCTTAGAAACATTTAAGTAGGTTGAAGCACCCCCACCCCTAACACTAAAAAATATATTCTAGGAAATAATTCTGCACTGTTAGCATAATACTCTACTTGCACTACTATTTCCTTTTGTCTACTAATCTTTATTTCTAGGATTTGATAAGTCTACTATAAACTGCAAAACACACTGGAGTTGAGACGAAACAGTCCTCAGGAAGCACACCCATAGCATGTATTACCCTGCAAAGCAATAATCCACTCTGGTGTATCTTCCCATCCCTGTCATGATGTCCCTTTGAATATTATTGTACTTGAATTGATTGTTAACTTCAAAAAAAAAAAAAATTTAACTGGTGGTGCAGTATTTGGAACAGAATACACACAAAACCCCCATCTCTTTTCAGATGGACCTCACACTCTTACATCAGTTTGGGGAGAGGCCAAAAATAAATGTGCCAGTAGTTTTTCCTGAGAAGAGAGGCAATAACTTCAGCTCTCATATCGGCACAGGGATGGTTGTATCCTTAAAAAGTTTTCTATTATGTATATTTTCAAAAATCAGGTTTCCTAACTGTGTGGCCACTTAGGAGATTGTATCACTAGAAAAAATTTACTTGAGGGCCTTTTCAATATGGAATATAGTCTGCCTTGGGTATCTCCAGCTCCTCATCAACCCATGGAATATGTTTGTTGTAGAAAATCTGTAAAATTTATCAACAACTGTCTGTGGGCAAAAGTTCCATTTCTTACCTCAAATAAACTACGTGGTAACTGAACCCTCAGACTTGAGTTGTAGCAGACAGAATGTTTGCCCCAAGCCCCTGGGCTGGCCTTGGCTCTACATTTTTCTACTTAATGCACACACAGTGCAGCCACCCCTCTCATGGCCCTGCTGCCTTCCCAGCTCTGCTGGAGGTGCTGGGACTGCAACTCAAGAAGGAAACTTCAGCACCAGCCACGCTGAAAACCTGCAAGTTCTCCTTCATCACCACAGCCACCACCTCCCCATGGGCACCAATCTGGGATTTTCCTGTACACACACACAGGTTTATGTGCACAACATACATATGTGTGTTTTGCATCTATGTCTGGTCATCCTGGAACCCTTCGACATCCTGCATTCTTTCTTGTTCATCATGACAGTGTCAGTTCTGGCACAGAAACACTGAATGTTTCAATTTTCTTACTATTTGACACCGAAGCTTTTATGTCTCTCTTTTTCTTTTGTACAAGATCAAATTTCAATTTTTTTACATCACTGTAAACCTCAACTCTTTCTGTTATTCATGCAGTATTCTCTTCTACTTTCCTGTTCACTCTTCCTTAAATAATAATTTGATTTTCTAATGGAACTGACTGCAGTTGATCCATTCCACATTCTAAAGAGCATGCCCAGTTACAACAACCATCCACCTTCTCCTCTACTGCACATTAAGCAGTTTGTAGACAAAGATTTATTGCTGATTTCAGTACTGGTTTGAAATGTCATTGTAGTCACAGACTTGGTCAGGGTTGCCTGATCAATTCTTTTGTACCTGTTTATATATTTAGGGGAGGCAGGAGTAGAAAAAAAAGACATTGTAATTTTAACAACTTTTTGCTTTTTCTTCCCCCCCTTAGTATATCCTGAAACATTCAGCCAAAAATAGCTTTATGGGTTAGTACACCAAAGGACACCTGAAAGCTGGGAAGTTTATACCCAGATGGGAAGTTAAATGCCTCTGAAAACCCAAAACTGTATCCAGATTTATACAAAAGGAATAGGTAGGGCTGCAGGAAAGCATTTTACTCCCATGAAATTTTCTGGGTGTCTGAAGTGCAAGGATGGAATACCATTGTCAAATCTTTGTTCCCTATTTGAAGACAGCATTTGGCAAGCTTTGTGCACCTTGCCCAGGGAAAGCTGAACTCTTTTACTGTACAATGTACTTAACTGGGAAAAAAATTCTGCTGCTTCTTTGTTCTCAGCACAGACATAAATAGTGACAATGCATGGGCATGGAGCTTGAACAGCTGATGAATGCACAATTTCCCCATGAGCTAGTACTGAAAATAAGAACGAGGGCTTCTCCTGAACTCTGTTTCACACATTTGCAGTGCTTCATGCTGCTGAGTGTGTTTCTTTACAGGCAGTAACTAATGAAGCACCAGCCCAGAGCTCTCTGCTTTAACCATTGTGTGTTTCCCTCTGCATGGGGTTGGAGTGCTCCACCATGGAGGGCTGAGAGCAGAGCTGCAGGAGAATTATTGAATTATGGTTCACCAGCAGGCTCTTTGACAGGATGCTGGCAGCACTGTTCCTGTTCCAGCAGAGACATGGAAACCATAACGAGCAAACTGCTGGCAATACCCACTCCAAAGGCAGCAAAATGCCTCGAGGGAAAAAGGGAACCTGCTCTGGTGCCTGCCTTTTCATCACCAGAAATGAGGTTATGAACATACAAAACTTCCTGGGTTAATTTTATTCTGCGAAGTTTCAATAATGAGGGCTACAGTTGTTTATTACTTCAAACCCCTCTCTTAGACAGAGGTTTATGAAATTAAAGCCCTTGCTCCTCTTTCAGTTTTTGCACTGTTCAGGTTTGTGTATTTTTAATTTATGACCATGTCTTTTTCAGAGAAAACCAAAACCAAAAAGAACATACCAGGCTTGAACCATGCTAATCCTACAAAGGTGATGAATAATAATAATAATTACTTTATGAGATATCACTGGGGCAATTCTCCCAATATATTTAGCAGAAATATTTCTTGAGATTGAGTGTGTTAAGAGAGTATGAATTTTGTTCTGGTGTAGCTTTAGTGGTTATCTCTATTCTTTGTATCTTTATTCTCCACGCTAACAAAACTGAAGCTGGATTCCAAGAGAGACCAGGAACCAGAAGTTTGATCATTGGATACACAATCTGAGACATGCAGCTTTAGAGAACCTGATCCATTTTGGTGATGCTAGAGCATGAGGGAGATTACACAGCACAGGATTCTGTACAACCAACAGGAATTAATTCAGTGACTTAGAAGGGGGTTTGATTTCTTCAGCAATCTTTTTGATATTTATGTTTTGTCATTTGGGGTTTTTTTCTCCTATCTCCTTAGATTTACTCACTTGGTGTAGAACTACTTTAAGCTTAAAGGCAGAAAGCAATTCTTAAGGCAGAACCTGATAAAACCTGATATCCCCCCTGAGACTGGGGATATCCTAGTTTTGAGATACTTATTCTGGTCAGCATGTGTGAATTAAGGGAAGGGGAAGCCACTTAGAGGAGATGTACTCAGTTTTATTTCCTCTCCCTCTCTCAGTATCCATATGTTTTTGCAAACATCCTTAATTAATACATAATTAATTATAATTTCTATTCCAGGATACCAGGAACAGCTCCATCCCACCAGACCTTTACTGTCATCCCAGTAAAGTCTTTCCTGGTGCTGTTCTGTGCAGAGCTGTGTGTGCTGGCACCAAAACTTTGAGAAGAGGCAGTGTTGGGTCCTAGGGAGGCAGGTAAAGCTGCCTCTGAGATTGCAGCTGGGAAAAGGGACAGCTGAGACAAAAATATTTATTATTAATATTTTATCAAAGCTGAAAAGGCTTTGCCACAGTGAAGTAAGGGCTGCTACTGGGCTACCCTCTGCCCATCCTTCACCTGGGGCTACTGATTTCCCATGGCATTATTTTCAGTTTAGGGTCAGGCAGGGACAGCTCCTGCAATGGAGACAGTGGATTTCAGTCACAGAAGGAACTTTGGAACTCTCTGATCCTTTCTGAGCCTTACTTTGTTCCAGAATGGAGTAAGGATGGGGCTCAGCAAGCTCAGCACCAGCACATTCCAGAGAGAAAAATAAACTGCTCCCTCCCATTAGCCTCAGGGGAGGTAAAAAGCATCACCACTGCAAAGTGTTACCTGTTGGAATGAAAAAATAGCAACTGTTTATTTTAATTAGTATTAAAGATGTCACAAATCCTATGTCTAGTTCTAGATGTGTCAGCCTGTGCAGTAAATATTGATATTAATCTCAACTGTGCATTTTAAAGTTTACCTGCAAAGATAAAACACCTATGGAGGGGTAGAAATGAAAGAGAAATGGGAGCTATAAATCACAAATAACCACTTAGGCAGTTATATTAATTCAGATAACACCTTCAATTTGCATTTGTAGGTTTTACAGCTTTTCCCAGCCTTAAATTAGAACTCCAAAAATTTAAGGGATCATTGATGGGAAGTCATTTTAGACCTCTGTTGTCACCTCTGGATTCCTGGTGCCATGGATTGCAGGTAGCTCTTCAGAACTGCTTTCTTTGGATACACTTGTTTATTGCTAGTGTAAAAAAAGCCACCTCACCACAAGCCAGCCCTGAGGGGCTGCAGTGAGTGATCTTAGAGGTCTTTTCCAACCTGAATGGTTTTACAATTCTAAACACTTTTTTTCAGGGAGAAAAGGAGACAACTTTGGCTTTTGATTAAGGGCAAAAAAACCCCCACATGTGTGTCTTTATGTACATATGTGTGTATATTTTCTGGTTGGTTTTTAAGCAAGTAGGTTATATAAAAATAATTTCTGGAGGGGAGGCAATATTGTTAGAATTGTTTTAGAAAAATTCATATTTCTGTGATTTTCTAGTAGTAGTTTTGCTCAGGAAACCACTGCTTTCAGTGCTATACAAATATTTTAGGGCCCATTTTGTGAAGAAGTACCTCATTCTCACTGCCATTCTGTGAAAAGGATGTTTCTATTTATTTGAATGAAAAACGCTGCATAATGCACTCCAACAAGTAATCTAAAATAAGTACAGTGATACATTTGAGTTTGCTGAGGATCTTACTGCAAATCAAGTTTTAGTGATAACACACATGCCTGTATGACTTTGCTTAGGTTTAAAAATGTAGATTTATTTATAGTAGAGAAAATACTTTGTTTCCTTTTTGTGTAATGTACGAATACAACCTGAAAAGATCTCCTTCCAGTAGCAAAAAGATAAAAGTCTGTTAGATGGAGAAACACACTGATGAATTCACAAACATATAAAAGAATTAAAGGCTGTCAATAAGGTTGTAAATTTCTGTTTTCAAGTTGCCCTAATGTTTGCTATGAAAACAGCAACAATGATAATAATCAGGAATAACAGAAACTTTAAAATAATTTAAGTCCAGTTTTAAATCTGAAATTGACTTTTAAATATCTACATTTAATTTTGAATAATTTTTCTGAGCGTAAAGATTTGCTGATATGTGCTGATAACAAGCATCATGAAGAGCCTGCTTCATGTCACTAAAAAACTAAAACTGGGAAATTTTCTAGGATACTAGGATGGTAGGAACTGATCTAACATAACATTTTGTTCAAGATAATCAGAAATATTAATATTAATTTTGTATTAAACAGAAATTGTGGACATTTTTACAGTTGTTATTCCTGCAGATAAGATGTACTTATGTGGCCTTGATTCTGCAAATATTCTAAGTTTAATATGTGTGAGAGAATAAAATGAAACAGGATTGATAACAAAAGAAAACTTCTGTATTGCCAGTCTTAACAACCATGTGACAACGTGATTGCTGGCACAACAAATAAAAGCATAAATATCTCCAATTTTAAAATTATCATAGATTTTTCTTTCATTTACTTTCTAGATATTCAACTAAAGGGCCTGGTTACCGTCAGTATTTCCTTTCAGCTGCCAAATGCAGAAACTGGAATTACAAGAACCCCCAAGCATCCTTTGTATTCCCCATATCCCACGACATTCAGGAGCTGTTAATAATCCGTTACTGAGGGAGGTGGGCACCCTCAGGATTGCTTCAAGTGCCCTTTGCCACACCAGCCACCACTCAGGGTGCTCAGGAAGGTCCTGTTGTGGCCACACTGACTGGGAGGCTGAAGAAGAGGAAGCAGCTTATTTCAAACAGCAGATCAAAAAAGCAAAAGTCAGGGATGAAATTGCAAAGAGAACAAAGTACTCAGGAGAACAACCCAGACAAGCCACTAAGCAGCATTCACTTCCATGCCATTTTGTTTCTGTGCATTGGAGCAGCCACCCCAGCAAGTGCTGCAGCATTTGGTAAGCAGAGCAGTTGAAAGGTGCTTAAGGAAAAGGGGACCAGAAACACACCACACAGACTAATCAGCACATTGTATATGTAGCTTATATAGCTCTGCTTTTCCTTTTTTTTTTTTTCTTTTTTAACGGTGTTTAAGAAAAATATGCTGTGTTACCATAACAAACTAAAATACTCTCTCAGCCTCTTAAGATTTTAGTTTTTGTTTTCAACTATTTTGGTTCCAAGTAGGTTTTATTTTTCTTTGTCTACTTTATAAAACCTTCTGTCAACATTAATGGCTTCAGGCAGAAGAAATAAGGGAGAATTATGAGCACAGAAGAGGACTCACAGTGCTGTTCCTTTCTCTTGTGCACTACGGGCAGGCAGGGGTGCAGAAGAAATAGGGCATCATGTTTTTATAGAATACAGTCAGACAGAAATTCCAGCTGGCATTCACTAAGCAAAAGGGAACGTTTTCCTCATCTAAAATAATTGTTTAAATCCCAGCTATACATAGCTATGGAATAATGGGGTCACTTATTTTCCACTAGTTCAGTAAGATGCTGCAGCAAGCTAATGGTTCCATGAGACAGACAGTTTAAAGCATCGATTTGCTGCAAATTGCTCAATCCATAACTAATGAGCAGCTCTGCAGATTTTAAGTGAATCAATCCCATTAGAATTTACAGTTTGCATAAGACCATATTACTCAATCTATGGACACAGACTGGATGGTTTTTTTTTTGGATAACCATCAGCAGCCCTTTCTTGTTGCTGTTTTTCTCAAACTTGTTTTTAATTTCTATTGGTAGATTGGATAAAAATCCCTCTCTTGAGGGTCTGACAGCATGCCTGAAAAATACACCATCCACATCTACATAAGCACACATGCATCCCCTGTCAAGTCCCAGATATTCCCTTGCAGAAGACAGTTAACATCCAAAAGGCAGGACGAGATGATAGATGGAATTTAGCCCCTGTAGCACTAAAACCCTGCCCAATTTGAAGGTGGATTATGTTTTTTTACACCTGTAAAAATGTGAAGTTATATGGCAACTGGAATTTGGACCCACAGAAGTTATTCTACATAACGAGCTGAAATCTCTCCTGTGTGAAAAAAGTAGCAAAGGCAAAAATTTGTATGGATTGAGTGACAGGATTTTTGTCACACATCTGCAGGGTAGAAACAGGAAATTGAGAACTATGCTTGCTAACAGATCAAGTTTTGGATTACTTTATTACTGCGTGTGCCAGGAGGTTTGGACCACCTTTTCTCCAGGCTTTGTAAAGAAAGGGTCAGTTCTATCGTTATCAATTACTACAACAAGATCATTTTAGGCAAAACAGTTACAGGCAAGCAGAAGTTCAAATCCTGTCAATGAATTCATAGACTCTGAAAAAACATTGTATTGGTTGTTACAAAAGAGCTGTGGCTGGCAGGCTGTTTGTTAGTAGGGGAGTGTTGAATCATCCCACTCCAACTGCTCTTGCCTGGTGGCATTCTGTTTGTTTCCCTTTTGGACAATCACTTCCTCCTCCTCTTCCTCCTCTTCCTCCTCTTCACTATCATCTGATTCAGCACTGGTTGTGTCTTCCTCTTCATCATCTATATCTTCTTCCTCACTCTCCTCTTCTGTCTGGTGTGGCTTTTCATATTTCTACAATAGATTTAAAGAAATCAGACAGTAGCAGAAAGGTGCCTTCTTGACAGCCACAGCTGCCTCAAAAGAGCATTTTAGAAATGCTAACATGCTGGGCAAATCTGCTTTCCATCATTATGTGTTATTAAGCATCAAATTCATACAAGTTGGTAGCAAGCATTCGAAAACTACTGCAAGGAGAATGGAATGTCAATAAGCAATCTCTTTGTTAGCCACACTACCAAAATTTAAACCTTCAACATCATCCTCTTTAAAATGCTGATGATTTCCCCTCCTTTTAGTGTATAAATGCTTACATGAAAAAGTTAAAACCAAAGCCAACTATATCATCTTGGGTACCTGTTGGAACTCAGTGCATCCCTCTGGGTGCCCAGAGCTGCCAGGACCCTGCCAGGGGGCTCAGAGACCCTGGCACACAGCCCAGAACACCTGTGGGTTTGATTGTGACCCGTGGAGCAAATTACCAGCTTTGTATGAACACCTGAAAGCCACAGAAGTTTAAGTAGTGTAGTAATAAAATTATCACTGGGTGAAGGGGTAGATTTTGGGATTTTTAGAATAGGGGTTTTGGGGACAAGACAGAGGGACTTGGGTGCATCCAGCCTTTCTTCTTCTTCTTCTTCTCTATCTCCATCTTCTGCTGTGATGCTGGCACTTAGGGATTGGGTTAGAGTAGAAGCTCACTGTCTAACATAGGTGATAGGTATTGGAAAGTAATTGCAAACATGTTATACATAATTTGTAGTAGGGGGCAGGCAGAGTGCCTGGGACTGTCCTGCTGAGGGACCTCGGCTGGACAGGAGGAAAATTTTTATAGATAAGATCCAATAAACAACTCTGAGACCGAGAACTGAAGAGCTGTGACTCATTCTTAGAACATGTGGGCCAAAACAGAGAGTGTTCACGTGTCTTGGGGCTGCAATAAACTGCAGAACTCCCAAGAGGTACCTACAAACAGACACGGATGGAGTGGAAGTGATGCTGTACCTGAAAGTTCTTCACCATCTTCTTTAGTAATTATACATGACAACAAAGCCAAAGTTCTCAATTATATCTGACCAAGGTGTGCAGAGCTGAGAACTGGGATGTTGAGTGTACACACACACAGAGCTGAACAACTGCACCCTGAAAGATGCTCAAACCCGCTGCCAGCCCAGCCCATGGCTCCTGGCAGTGCCAGGGGTCGGTACCTCCATGGGGTTGACGGTGATGGTGAGAGCAGAGTCGTCCCAGTCCATCTCGTTGTCCTTGGGTCCCTCATGCCCCAGGGAGCCGTGCTGGCGCGCGGAGCGCAGCCGGAGCACGCCCAGCGTCACCACCAGCACCAGGACGCTCACACAGATGATGATAACCATCGTGGCCACGCTGGGAACCACTGGGACAGAGGGTGGCAAAGGGAATGCAGTTACACTCGTGCAACCAGTCATCTAAACCTCACTAACTGTTCATTTTCTACCCATAGCATCCCCCCTTTGGAGTGACAATCAGGACAGACACCTTCCATGTGCCTGGGATGATGGAAAGGGTTGGCCAGTGCCCATCCACTAAGGTTGAGCACACACAAATGGTGTTCACAGGTATCTTATCACGAGTACGACAAACCCTAACTAAAATGTGAGCATGCTCACCTTTGCTTTTTGAGCCACTTAACTACAGAAGACAGGTAGTTAATAACTGCAGAATCAAATAGTTTTTGCAGTAAAATTCTGTTATACCACTTGTGTGTTGACCCCTTCTGATCACAGCTGAAGCCTCAAGCTTACTTGAGACAAAATGTACATCTCAAAGCTTGCATTTTCAAAGGTTTCAAATGCTTGTGATTTCAATCTCAAGCTCCCAGAAATAAATGCATTGCCACCCTATTTGTGTGTTTTACAACCTTCCTGGGAGACTCTTGAGAACTCAAGGCATTTTCCCCCCACTGTTTGGTTGTACTCTGAGAGGCCCCTGTCTCCACCTAGTCACAGGAAGAAGTCTCTCTGAACTACCACATGTAATCAGCTCCATAATTGTGTTAGTGGAGAAATGCTGCCACTTTCTATGTCCTGCGAGGTACTGCAGTTCCAGGAGCATGGGATAACCCAGTCCATAACCCATTCTGTTGCCTTGCCCTGCCTATAAGAATGTAAGTCTGTAATCAAAACAGTATTTAGGAACAAAAAAAAACTAGTTTGCAATAGTTTATCCATTAAACATTCAGTTTCATTTTAGTGAAGTGTGTCTACAATGTAAAGAAAAATACAGTAATTTTCTAAGAATCTCTGTATATAGCTAATTACAACTACCTACACTTTCCATCAGCTTTACTTCTTTACATATGTATCATTCAGCTAAAAGGATTTCAGAATCCAACTTTCAAACAAGTATCTTTGCCCTGCATTTAACTTCACTGAAAAGGTTTCAGATTTGGGTATATATTTTAACTTATATAGCCTAAAAATTAAATAAAAATATATCCTATAAATTTTTAACTGTGGGGGTCAGAGCACAAAACCATTAATGAAGACTTTAAAAAAGGATACCAGGTTTTAATTTAAAAGTACATTCTTGGACAGAATGGAATTCAGAGTTACCTTCTTTCACACCTGTGATCTCTGAGAGGTCTTAGGAGCTGAAACAATGGACTTTAGTCTGTGGAGCAGGCTGACCCACAAGGGAAACACTGACACATCGGAATCATTGTGAGCAGTCTCTGGGAAGGTGTCACATACCTGAGCTGGGAACTGCACTTACACTCCCCTCAGGGTGCTGAACAGATTGGAGAAATTTGGGCTGGAATATCATGTGATTTACATGGTCCATGAAGTTTGAGTTGGAACTGTGTAGAATATTAACCTGGGAGAAGAGAAAAATAAGAGACCAGATACTCAAAAGTGTTTTATACTCCAAGCCTGCTGGTTCCATATATTACACTGGACTATGAAGTTCACCAGCAGATAGGGACACTACTTCACAGATGCGAAAGGACAAATTAACTTTTTTTTTAACGCCAGTGGAAAATACACAGCTTAATATATTTCTAATATGTAGCATGAAAAATGCATTCTAACCTTTCTGGCTGTTGACTCTGAAGTGACCCAGAGCAAGACTCTTTTGATTTACCTGTTTGGATAAGTAGTGACTTTTTCTTCTCTCTATATTGATCAGCTTTTAGGTGTTGCCTAAACATTACGAAATAACTGTTAATTTTCTTAACAATTATTAAGCTGTCTTTGTAAACACTTATTAATTTTGAGCATATTGCTAAGTAGGTCCTGCAGTTAGTTGTTACCTGGGCTCTTGGCGCTATGTTGGAAAACACGACTCAGTCATTGCTCACCTGCAGGCTGAACTCACTCACTGCTCACCTGCAGGCTGAACTCCTTGCTCACCTCCAGGTTGAACTCCTTGCTCACCTCCAGGTTGAATTCATTGCTGGTGTAACGCCCGTTGAGCTCGGAGCACTTGACCCTGAATTTCCTGTCCGAGGTGGCCGAGGTGCCCCAGTTGCGGTAGCGGAGCTGCCGCAGCACCTGCTCGTAGCTGAACATGCTGTCCACACCTGTGGGGTGGGAGGGCAGGGACAGCTCTGGGACAGGCAAGGGAACACTGCTCTGGCAATAAACAACAAATCAGCTGCTCACAGAACACACAGAACTCGGCAGAAAGGTCTGGAAATGACAGGGCACCAAACGTTCCCTGACACTCGGTTATGTGAGGATAAGTTTTTGGAACTGAATGTAGGTCCCCAATGGAGAGGGGAAAAATACAGCAATGGTACAGAATAAATTAATTAGTGATGAGAAAAAGATGGCCAGTGTCCCAGCATTGTACAGGAACCCCCTCACTCCCATGTTCCACTGTGATGGTCCACAAGAACCCCACATTTAAAGAAAGCAGGGATGTCGTTTTCCTTACTTGGGGAGTAGCAGGAGGGATGCTGAGAATCCAAAGGGCAAACACAGCACATCCAGAGATCAAGAAGCAGCTGTGTTTTTTAAGATACAGTCACCCTTGGGATATTTTCATGGCTAGAAAATCGCAGATTTCTGTCCAATTTCTTATATATTTGAGCTTTCATTCCAATATATAATTGACGTGACAAAATAAGGGAAAACAAATTTCCTGAACTTACCATAGATTGAATATCCTGCAGTGGAATTTGTGGCATCTAGATGTTTTCCTTGAAGCTCCCCATGATCTAGTTCTAAACACTCCTGTTCAGGGTCTAGTTCCGCACCAATGACCAAAACATCACAGAAATCCAAGTTGTGGAGCATTTCCTCTACTACCACTTGTTTATTGACTGTGAATCCATGGCATGGGGCATGAAAAAAAGACAGAAATGAAGACAAATTATCACAGATCAGCTCATTCATTTTATGTGCTTTGCATCAGGGCTTTTAATTTTTGCCAGGATAGCCGAACTGCTTTTACTGATATTAAATCCAGCACACTTAAAGCAAATCAAGAGATGTGTCCAGGCTGCACAGGTGCTGTGATGATGAAGGCCTTACAAACACCCAGTGAGATAAATAGAAAATATATTGCTCTCTAGTATAATAAGGCACCCAAGAACATTACTGGAAGTATAAAACTGAAATTTGATCTTGGAAATAAATTCATGTAAAAAATTCCATGTTTCAGTGCTGAATTGATACCAGCTTTCTCAAGGAAAACCAAACTGGAAAAATACACATCCAACATATTTATGCTTGGATAATTCTCTCAGTTACTCTATGCCCCATAAACAATTTACATTACAAAGACCTGGCCATCTATCCAAGAGCAAGGCATTATTACAAAAAGCAAGATCCTGTGCTGTGTGACTTAAAGAAATTAAATTATAAGCTGACTGTCCTTCAACATGTACAAGTAAAAAAATAATTCTGTTACTGGAAAAAGGGTAGCATATCAAATTAATATTTAAATTCTCTGATCAACTTAGCACACAGTGTGTGGCAAAACTGCTTAAGCAGCTCCCTGAGGGCACAGACACTGCAAGTCTGGAACTTCCTGCCCGTTTTGCAAACTTGATGTTAGAGGGCAGGAATTTAGGAAGGAAGGCATTGGGAAGGAGGGCATTGGGAAGGAAAGCATTATGCCCTACATTGCCAGCTCCTGGTGCAGTGAATCTGGGTACCTTAGCTCTAAGTTACAGGTGTAACATATCCAAAAATTCAGCCCAAGTCAAATTTGTAGGCTTTAGGCAATCTGTGCCTGTAAACTTGCATACCATTACCCATTTTCTCTTCTTCAGAGACATCCATCTAGTTGCTGCTTATTCTAGTCCAACAAACTGTTTAGAATGATTCTCCAAATTACTAGACATTTCATCTGCCTTGCGCATAAACATTCAAAAGATTCCTTCATAGACAATGATTTTAAACTTGATTTATACTTTTGAACATTCACACAGTGCTGAATAATAATACACACATTGCTTAGCATTAGAATAAACAGTCATCGTTGAAAATAAATATTTTTAAAGGATTATATATGCATTTTATAGGTGGGAAACTGAGGCATGAGATTACTTTTTCAAGTGTCACTCACAAGCTAGTATCAGAGCTGGAAACATAAGAGCAGACTAAAACTTCAACTTTTGTTCAATTACTGCTTTTCACCTTATCGGCACAATTAACAAAATTCTGTTACAAGTGAAGGCATTCTAATGAAAATACCCTACATAACAGAATATGAAAGGAACAGTAGAAAGGAATTATTTTGAAGTATACTAAATGAATACTACATGGAAAATCTGTTTTTTTTTGAAACACCTTCTGATCTGCCACCATTTAACACATTTTCCCATGTGTTGAATTGAATTTCTTGAGTACAGCATTACTGTGGCCTAATTAATCTGGCTGAAGTGACTTCCTTTGCATTACTTGTTTGCACCATCCTTTAAAAAATATGAACAGACGTTACAAAATGAGTAATAACATTTAAAAGAAAGACACAAACCTCTGTCATGTTCTCTTAAGTCTACTGAATGCTCCATTTTAGTGACCGTGCTGACAATCCTGATGTCAGGGAACAAAATAACACCTCTTTCACTTTCAAACTGTGCAGCTGGTCTAGCAAAGTGGTCCATCCCAGTTATGGTAATCTTGGGCTCATTGGCCTGAAATACCATTACATAGGCATCTATATCTGGGATACTAATGCAGACATCTTCACCAAAACATCTGAAAAGACACATTAACTGCATGTAACACATTGCACATCACTGTGGCACTGGCACACTTGGCACCCCAAGTCCAGTTCGTGGCTCTCAGCTCAGTCCAATTCATCCTCAGGCACCCAGCTCTGGCCCTCCCCTCCCTTCCCACCTTCACAGATGCTCATCCTGAGGGACAAATTCAATCTTTCCTAAGGTGACTATCAGAATATTATTTTAATGTTTCACTGACATTTAACAGAGCAGCAAAGCGTTAACAAAGTTAACTAGATCACAACTAACTTTAGCAAACCAAACATTAAATTCAGAAAGTGGTGGCTAATGAATACAACATGGTTATCCTGTCATGTGTGATTGTTGAAAATTGCAATGCAAGATATTTTCCATTACCATCTGTATGGCAGATTACCTTTGTCAAGTGGGCAGTTTGCCTTATCTCTCTCTCTGAGTGACCACATTCACATGTGCTGATAACAGCTATTGAATGTCCCTGCATGGCTGATAAGAACTGCAGCATCCCATTGGGAGATGTGAGCCCAGAGGGAGGAGCCAAGCATTGCTGCCCAGATATAATCCAGAGGTTTTGAGACACCAGCACGGCTTCTCCATGGGATTCCCCAGAGGAGCAGCAGCTGCCTCTCCTTCCACTGGATCTTCAGAGGAAGAGTACATCCTTCTCTACAGGATCCCTGCTCCAGCAGAACCACCCCTGACACTGCAGGAGGGCTGAGCCACAATTCCAATGGGGCTGCCACCAACACCCTGACCCACAGGGTGTCAGGTTGGGTTCTGACTCTGGCAGTGTTGTTCTAGTTTACTGCAGTGTTTATTTTATTCTTTAATTTTTTTCCTTTCCCTATTAAAGAACTGTTATTTCCTGCTCCCATATTTTTGCCTGAGAGCCCCTTAATTTAAAATTTACAGCAATTCAGAGGGGTGGAGAGGGTTCACATTCTCCATTTCAGGGGAGGCTCCTGCCTTCCTCAGCAGACTCCTCTCTTTCCAAACCACGACAGTGATTAAAAGGGCCTAATTTTCCATTTAAATGGAAACTCTTTTTGGGACACTCCAATATTTGCAGTGAACAAGAGGTGGCTGTACTTCCACTTTCACCTGAATCAGCAGTCTGCAAGAAGTGACTCTCCTGACAAGCTCTGCCTCATTTCATGATGGCACAGGAGCTGGGCCAGCCCTGGGATGTGCAGGCTGGGCTGGCTCCAGTGGGGCTGCCTGAGAGCTCTGAGAACTCTGCTTGTTTTCCTTCCAAAGCCCTGCTTTCCCTCCCCCAAAGCATTAAAGAGAATGCAAGTACATTATATTAACAAGATAGGCTTCTTAAGAAGGTAGTACCAAGAGTAATCCAGCATATAAATGGTGGTTTTGGCATAAAAGTAAATTAAATTCATCCTTTGAAGTTCAATAACAAAGCAGTATGATTTATCAATTTAATTGAGCCAAAATTATTCTTTTTACATGGCCAAAGAGAAAAGTAATTCATTAAAAATGTTCCTAATCTGTTCAATTCAGCTGAAGTAGAACTTACTGGACTTTAGATGAGACTTTGAGACGTCGCACGCCTGCAGTAGGAAACTGTCTGGAGTTGATGTATGAGACCTTTTGGAGGGCCTGATTTATATTCTCAATGTCATCTCCTTCCATGACAAGGGCTGACTGGGAAGGGTTGAAGTGATACTAGGAGAAATATATATAATTAGTATTTAAGGGACCAGGTACAGAGTACAAAATAATATATATTTTTAAGGAATGTTGCACAAATGTAAGTAAAAATTTTAATGATTTAAGAAAAAAAGAATCTCTGTAGCTATCATTGGCTGAATCCACATGTTGTTCTCTCTAACATGTACTTGTATCAGTCACCTAAAAAATGAATCCAGATTTGCTGCTCTTTTCCCAGCCTTATCAACCTTGCTGATCCAATTTCTGCAGCAAATTCCAATACTATTTATTTTTGAACTCTGTAGAGGTTCAAAACCTTAACTTACCACCATAATTATTATTTCTATGTAATCTTTTTAGGTTAAACACATTCCCCATATAAAAGCATTGCCTTTTGAGCTAGCTTAGCATGCAGAGGCATATTCTGGCTGCTTTCTGTTGTGGTTTTATCCTGGGCTACCTTTCTGAGATATATTTCAACACGAATGAACAAAACAGTTACAGCATTTGCCTCCTACATCTTCATTAATGTCAGACACACTAAAGGGGACTCTCCATCCTGCCTGATGATCAATAAGGGCCTCTTGATTTAAGATGGAGCTGCTCACTTGGGCCAGCAAACCCTGCAAAATCACTGCCTGCTCTTGTGGCCCCAAGCCTTCTCCACTGCATTGCACTGAACACACATCAGTCTTGATGACTAAAAAACTTTGTCACTGTTGTGACACAACCAATGACTGATTTTTACCTTCACCATAATTAATCCTAATTACCTGTTTTATCTGTTAATTGGTTCAGTAAACCATCTGCATTGCCGAGGAAAGCAGCGTCACCCACTTGACATTGTACCCTACTGTTGTCAGCACAGGACACAAACAGCACTTTTCTCTGCTGGAAAGGCTTTATTTCCCCAAAGCTGGGCATTGATTATGTGAAGATGCTGTTAAAATACAGACAGAGGCTGCCTACACTTCCTTACAGCCAGAAAGGTTAAAAAGCCAAACACATCAAACAGTCTGTGAGGAACAGGAGGAAGTGCAGGGTCCTTTGTCAAACAGAACATGGAGGACTGGGTTTAAAGCTTGTGCAGGAAGGTCATAACACACTGAAGGGTATTTTTTAACAAAGAGGAGGACTAACATGAATCCCAGCCTGCATATACTTCTTTTTTCTCTCTTTAAGCTAGCAACAGTAGAGAATAAAATTAGCAAAGAGAGACTCTAGCTAGCCAGTTAATAGCTCAGCTGCAAAACAGCTGGAATGCTGCCAAAGGGACCAGAGAAAGGCCCAGTCTGAGCCATTTTTGTCTTTCTCATTAAAAAAGCTAAAAATAGCAACAGTTTAGACAGCGGCTCAGAGAGCTGTTACAGACACTGAAAATTAGGCTGCAGCCCAAAAACAGTCCAACACTATTGTCTCAGAAATGCTGCTACACTGCTCTTTCTTGGGCGGTTAAAGCGTGAATCTCCGTGGTGCAAAGTGCCCAAAACACCCTCCAGTGTCAGTCTGCCAACTCTGAATCTGCTGAGCACCACCTAAACAGCCCCACAGAACCCACTGTCTGTGCAGCTGTCACACATGCCTGTCTGGGATCAGGTGTGTTTGTTTCTGACACCTCAACACCTTTCTCTCTCATTTTCTCTTCAGGGTCAGGCAACTGTTCTGCTTTCAGCTGAGCTTCCTTCTGTCAGCCCCCCAAAGAAACCCTTCCACAATCTTTCTCTTTGCTCCTTTCATTTTTGCCTCCTTCTGTTGCTCTCACTGTTGGCTTGCTGAGGCAGTAAAAGCAACATCAGTAACTTTAAAAAAAACCCCACTATGTCTCATCTGTATTTCAGAAAATGAAGATGTTTTAAAGGTTTGCAAAAGCAGGAAAAAGCAGAAAATAATCCCTTGTCTTCCTTTTCCCCTCTGTACTGTCAGTGCAGTGAAGAAGCCAGTTACAGATGCTGGAGCAGCAGTGGGTGGTAGGAGAGGGATTTTCCCATGCCCATGAAACAGGGGTGACTCAAATATTTTCAGGTTTCAGAGGGCAACAACAGGGGAGGAATTACTGTGCTTTTAAGCACCATCGACTAAGTGTACAGTACTGTTGAAGACTGCAATGCAAGATGATTTCCATTCCCATCTGTATGGCAGATTACCTTTGTCAAGTGGGCAGTTTGCCTTATCTCTCTCTTTGAGTGACCACAATCACACCTCCCTGGGGAGGGGACATTGCTGATAACAGCTATTGAATGTCCCTGCATGGCTGATAAGAACTGCAGCATCCCATTGGGAGATGTGAGCCCAGAGGGAGGAGCCAAGCATTGCTACCCAGATATAATCCAGAGGTTCTGAGACACCAGCACGGCTTCTGCATGGGATTCCCCAGAGGAACAGCAGCTGCCTCTCCTTCCACTGGATCTTCAGAGGAAGAATCCATCCTTCTCTACAGGATCCCTGCTCCAGCAGAACCACCCCTGACACTGCAGGAGGGCTGAGCCACAATTCCAATGGCACTGCCACCAACACCCTGACCCACAGGGTGTCAGGTTGGGTTCTGACTCTAGCAGTGTTGTTCTGGTTTACTGCATTGTTTATTTTATCCTTTTATTCTTTTTCCTTTTCCCTATTAAAGAACTGTTATTTCCTGCTCCCATATTTTTTTGCCTGAGAGCCCCTTAATTTAAAATTTATAGCAATTGGGAGGGTGGGGAGGGTTCACATTCTCCATTTCAGGGGAGGCTCCTGCCTTCCTTAGCAGACTGTCTTTCCAAACCAAGACAAGTACTTTAATTAACGGAAAATCCCAGCAAAGAACTTACTATTAGGCATACACAGGTGGGTTCCTGAAATCCCTACCTGCTCCTTGTATTCACTACACTTTAAAACCAGCTTTAACCGACCCCCTGAGTCCTATTGCTATGAGAAGCAGCAGTGTGGAATTCTTAATGATGTCCTTGGCAGGATGATAAAATAATTCTTTGGGGTCTTTCCTCATATGTAAAAGTTAGAGCTAGCAAAATTCCTCCTTACTTTTGCACTTTCAATTTTCATTTTTACATTCATTTTCACAAAATGTGTCAGTTATACTACACCACTGCAACCTATCATCACCCAGACAGGCATTTATTTATCTGGGTATATTTCAGGTCAGTCTGTACAACAGAAAGGTTTGGCTAATAAAATGCTGTCCATGGCACTCCCACTGCATGTTCCAGATGAAGTGTTAGAGCAGCATCCTCCTCCCCTCTGAAAACCCCACAACAAAACATCCCTGTTCAGTTCCTCAGGATGCATTTTCTGCACCCAAAGGAACTTTCTGGGCTGGAAGGGAAGCTCAGCTCCTTTGGAAGTGGTATTTGTGTGCTAGGAAACAGCTCATAAATTCATTTACACTGAGCACAAGAACACTGCCACCAAATAATGGTGTCAGTAAAGGAAAACTGACAATGCAGCTTATGTGAGCATTGGAATAGCCAACATCCTACATGTGTATCCAAAGAACAGAATTTCAGAATTATCTGAATGAATGCAAACACATCTAGCCACTAGGTCAATTGAAACAGGATTTCCCTGTCTGTTGTATTCCAATCTTAGAAAAAGCTCTGCATTACCAGTAGTCATATGCATAATGAAGATGGATAATGACTTATATTCAAACCTAAAAATTTAACTTCTTGACTTTAGAGTTTTTTGTGTTCATTTTTCATGTACAGTAAAGTTTTCCTCTTTGAACACACAGATTTTTAGAATGGGACTTATTAGGACTTATGTATTCCACTGCTTTAAAACTACTTGAGATCAAAATTCAGTAACTCTTTAGAATCATATCTGTTTCTGTAGAAGTAACAAAATAAGCATGAAAACACAACCTGGCAATTCATACAGGCTCTGAAGTATCAGCAGTGCCTTACTTTCTGATCATCTAGCTCTGCAAAAATGGAAACATTTTTCTTTGCAGTGTCACAGCTCTTTTACTGTTCTGTTTTTCCTTTGCATGATTTTATGGGAAATTACATTGCTTCTGGGAGTACATTTGCACTGTGTGTACTCTACCTTGGGCTCTCCATTTCATAAATCAGATCTAAATTTTTATCAAAGATGATGTCAGTTCATCCCTCACCTTTATTCCTTGACCAAGACTCTCAAGAGAATTAATATCGAGCCCTTCCTTGCAGGCCTGCAAGCAGGAAATCACTTTCTGACTCTCAATTTTCCCTGGCCGTATTGTCAGGCTGGCCAGGCTGCCATGGAAATACTGAGCAAACCTGGGCTTGGTGACTTCACCTCCTGCAAAAAAAGAGGATGCAAAATGGTTATTGGGACCAACACACAAATTGCATATGTAATAAATCACTTTATGGTTTAACATGTTTAAAGAATCTCTATCCATTTCAGCCAAGGGTATTTGAGATCCCATTTGTTGTGGTATAGTGGAATGTCTTTGTGGGTTGTTGGGTGGTGTCTGGTAGCAGGCTGTCTTTAAGATTCTTGATTTTCCAGGATTGTATTCAGGTGTTTATAGAGCTGAGACAGTGTCAGAGCTCAGTGCATCCCTCTGGGTGTCCAGAGTTGCCAAAGACCCTGCCGGGGGGCTCGGAGACCCTGGCACACAGCCCAGAGCACCTGGGGATTTGATTTTGACCCCTGGAGCAAGTTGCCAGCTTTGTATGAGGACCTGAAAGTCAAACAGGTTTGAATGGTGTAATAACAAAATGGTCACAGGGTGAAAATGTAGATTTTAGGATTTTTGGTATGGGGGTTATGAAGACAAGATGGAGGAATCTGGGCATGTCTAGTCCTTCTTCTTTCTTCTTGTTCTCCACTTTCTGCAGTGATGTTGGCACTTTGGGGTTGGTTTAGAGTAGAAGTGCACTGTCTAGCATAGGTGATAGGTATTGGGAATTAAGTGTAAATGTGTTATATGTAGTTTGCAGTATAAAAGGACAACACAGAGTGCCTGTGGCTGCCCTGCTGAGCAGATCTCGGCTGGGCAGAAAGAAAATTTTATAGATAAGAATTAATAAACAACATCAAGACCGAAAATTGAAGAGTCCAGATTCGTTCTTGTTGTGCAGGCTGAAGCAGAGACATCCTGCACACCTCAGGGCAGCAATTATCAACAGCAACTTGAGAAGACAGCAAACCCAGAGATGAAACAGGGCTTCCCAAATGTATACAAGGAAGCAGATGATTTTTAAAAATTACCTTACTCAAGTACTCAAACACTAACTTAATAAATGGTAAAGTCCAATATTTATTTATAAAAAAGCAGTATTTGCAAGTGTTCTATGACAAGATCAGCTACCTCTGCCTTTGTCCTCCCAAGAACACGGCACCAGATGAGCTGAGAGTGGTGGCTCTGTGTGTACAAACTGCCCCACTCCCTGGGCTGTGTCTGAGGACACGCTGGCAATTCCTGCAGCGAGCAGGGAGCTGTGCACAGCCCCTCTCTGAGAGGCTGGGAGTGCTGTCCCTGAGCCCAGGTGCATCATTTGGTGCCAGGTCTGGTCCTGTCTCTCTGTGCTGCACCTGCAGACACGCTCGGTTTGGCTCCACTCCAGGCAGCTCCGAAGGAAGGCTGATCTTTAGGAGCTGTCAATAAAACGTGATTACAGACTGCCTGCTCCAGTGATCATGGCATCTCAATTACTCTTGGGACAGTTAGTGATTTACTCATCCTCCTTTAGGAGAATTTTTAGAGCTTGTCTTTCCTGCAGTGTTATCTCTCTCAGTGCATGTGAATTACTGCCTGCCTCGAGCCTGGGAGGACCAAGGAAGCCACAGAGCAGGGAGCCAGGCAGACTAATTGGATTAGCAGCTGATAAGCTGTTGATAAGGTGTTGTAATTGGTAGATAACTCATCTCTACAGTGTTTGTAGCTTTAGTATCAAACAACTTGGTTTTGGCAGGCAAGATAGCTCAAACTTGAACTTTAACTTGTATGTGGATTGGAGTTGGATAGGGAAGAAGTGGCAGATTTTCTTTAGGCTGCTGTTGTTACCTAAAAGCCTGAAAACCCTCACTTCCAGTCTCTGCAGGATGAGCATTATGAAGAGGACTCGAGCTATTTTATATAGTGAAGAAAATACACACTGGTAGGAAAGTACTGGCAGGAAAGGGGTGTCCAAGCAGGCTGTTTCTTCAGAGAAGTAGGAAGTGGTTTTTGTTTGTTTGTTTGGTTTGGGGTTTTTGTAGTTTTGTTTTTTGTTTTGTTGTTGGTTTTCTTTTTTTTTTTTTTTAACATTACAGCACAAACTATCTCTTTTTTTCTTACCCCAAAGTAAAGTTCCCAAGGGGAAATTATTCTTGTCCACTCTAATTCATTTGTCCATTACACAGGAAATTTCCTCTGGGCAGAATTTTGAGATTTTTTTGGACATCTGAGATTTCTTAGAAACTTTCACATATACGACAGATAAAGTTCAACATTTCTGATACTTACCAAGGCAATTATTTGGTAATTATTTGGTAAATCAATAGTGCATTATGGGGACATTGGCTTTTCAGCCAAAATGCTGTTATTTTATCTGCTTACATTGTCTTTAAAAGTACATATACAGCAGTAATCTAACTGGACAGAAAAAGGTAAGCTGAATTTTAAAAAAAAAGCAAGCATGTCCTTAAAAAGGAGACAAAATCATTTAAGAGATTACAGAAGAAGAAATCACATTTTGCTTGAAGCTTCACATTCTCATATCACTACAGAATTGTGAAGACAGCAAGATCCAAGGCTAAAATACCAACACTATTCCTGGAGCTTTGAAATTTAGAAACCTATAGTAAGTCTGCCAGTAGGTCTTAATAATTCTGAGGAGATGCAAAATAAGAGGCAGGCTCAGATCAGGGAATGTATTTAAATGTGAAATACTCATCAAACACAGCAAAAACCTAGTCCTCAACTGTGTTGTATCTTGTGTTTCACTCAGCACTATGTTTATTGATTGCTATGGATTAATATGCTGTGAATGCTAATTCTTGGAGGATGGTTAAGTGGTTAAGGCTAATTAATGATAGAGCCAAGAGAGGAAAACAGAATCTTCCCTGCTGTCAGGGAATTAAGTTAATGTCTGTAACACAAAAAAGACTGAAACTACAGTATAGTTTAGTTATCAACTATTCTTACTACAATTCCTTCCATGAAAAAATTTTGAAGCTACTGATTTTTTTCTCTTCCTTAAATGTAAATGTTGTGGTTGCCATCCCAGTTGTGAGGGAACACAAGCCACAGGGTTGTTCAGATCCTGCTGATAAGATTGTGCATTGCTTTTCACACCCGACCCAGCATGCACCAACACTTCTGAAGTCTAGCAGATACAGGAGGATGGATGGTGGCTTTTGGCATTAATTCAACCCTTGTAAAAGGAAGGTGGTGTCAGCAGACTGTGGAGGCATCCAAAGGAACCATGACATCCATAATTATTCACTACAATGCTGTTCACCCCTTAGGCATTGTCGAAGTAGCATGCATCATAGCTTTCACTTGCTAAAATAATAACTGTTTTCTGGACTGAGATTCTTCTGTGCTGGTTCTCATCTCTTTTGCTGCTGGAATTATCTAGGGACATGCAGGAGACCCCACAGGGCCCTCTGTGGGGCATGATCATGCTGCCAGTGAGAGCAAGACTTCACATTATCAGTTCTTGGCACAGACATAAATAGGCACAGACACAGCTACAGCTGCTCCCTGAAATTTCAAACACACCAGATCAAATGGAGAAGACCAACCTACTTAATTTTAGCTGAATATGTTGCAGATGTCTGTCTGTCTGTCTTGGGGGCAGTTCAGTGGGGACCCCTTATACACATGGAGGAAAACAAATGTTTTGTTATAAACAGTTGAAGACTGCCAGATGAACAACAATTTAGGGGGGTTAAGAACTGTTACCTGGCAATCACCTCTCGTTGCAGCCACAGAGAGGTCCTGCTAGATATAACATTATATCTGTTAGGTATAGCATAGGGGAGTCCAGGGGGAACTGAAGAATCCCAGGGTTTGGACTTCATGGGGTTGAAATGCATTCATTAAAGAAGCAGAGCCTGTTTCCATGACACGTTTCTTTTTCATTTTGCATTGAGTTGATATAAAGTGTGACAGAATTTGATTAGCATTGAATTTTGCAGTTGTAGGTTTGATTACACAGATGTAAAGTGCTGTTTGCCTTCCTTACCAATCTCCAAAGAACAATCAGCACGTCAAAACAAGTGACTTTATTGAGCTCACAGATTTTGCAGGCTTTTTGTCCTATCCTAATAATGAGCAAGTAATTATCAAGGCAGTCAAATCACAATGAGCTTTTCATGGGAAATGGTGAAGTCAAGAGAATTTCCAACTGAGATGCAATTTTTTAAAGATATTCTAAACTCTGGTTATACTAAGCCAGATAATTAAAGAACAATTGAGTATTTAGGGTACCATCATAAGGATTGAATGAATCTGGGAGCAGGCACAAGGCATTCTGGCTCTGAAGTTCTCAGGTCCAAGCCTCCAAATTTATCCCATCTTTTTACTACAGCAGTTTAGGGAGCTGGGTTTAATTCTTTGACAAGTAGATTGGCTGTAAAACAGGATGGAACTTAACACAGATTTCAGGAGTAGCCCCAGTAAGTGACATGACATTTCTCAGCACAGAAAAGTTTTAGTGGGGTTTTTTATATCACTCAGATAAAAATTAATCATAAATTGGTCATCAGACATGGCCCATGTTAAATCTGCCTTGCTCTAGGTAGATATCATAACCCAGCAACCTCACTCAAACAGCTTTAGGCTTTAAAGCTTTATCTGAAGTAGGCCAAGTTCAGAGAACACTAAAGGTTCCCTGCTCTTACATGTCCAAATGCCAACTGATGTCTTTGCAATACATCCTTAAACCCAAAGTGGGTATAACTTACACTATTGACAATGATTTTTCTTAGGATAATAAAAACACTATACAATTTTTCACAATTCAGCCAATAGATAAACATTGCTCAAAAAAACCTATATCCCTATTCTCCAAAAGTTATTTTTGTGCTGGTAAGTAGTTCTCCCTGCAGAAATTCAGTTATAAATGGGGCATATATCTGGGGTGACAGATTTGAATGCAAATTCAGCTCTCCAAGAAAACACCCTCCTAAACTAAACCTTCCATGTGTGTTTGCATTTCTATTACAGCTGAAACTCAGCAAAGGTCTCTGAAGTGCAGTGAAATCTGCCCCATCTTCCTCTGGATGAGAAGGACTGTCACAGACATCTTTTAAGGAAAATCCTTTCCTTGGGATTTTTCATCCTGAGAAGCTGGGAGGCCTCA